TTCGAGCTTTGTTGTTTTTGGACCCGTTTTTTGCCCCTTGGGTTGCATTTTTCTTGGTTCTCTTTCCAGATACAGTTTTACACTTTATGTTCGTCCACTATTTTTCCTGTATACTTGGTACTTTTTCTCATGAGTTTGACTTGACGTTGAAGTTTCCAAAAGGTTTCTCCGTTGTGCTCCATTTCCTTTAACCCAATAGACGCAACATAATGTATAGTCCATAACTAGAGTACTGGCTGGATGGCCAATGCTAAAGCTAAAGAATAGTTGTACACTTCTGAGGATTTTCTTCTCACAAAAGTTGCCAATACAATTTCACGCTTTCGCCTTACATATTAAAGGACTTAGCATGGATAACTGTGTCAAGCGAACTTAGACATAGTCAGACAACTTCATCAGTTACTACCTGGTTCTGTTGATGAATTCCTCTCACAATTTAATTGTTCCATCTATGTAGTTTCTGTCTGCTGGGCTCAAGCGTCAAATTTAGCTCATGTTCTCGTTCCAAATTTTTTCTCTGACTTGGTGGAGCAGATGTGAATATGAATGCAAAGAGGTGTCAAACCCATTAGTGAGCTAAACTCGAGGAAGTTTGGTAAGTCGTCTCTCAAATCTTGTGAAATGTCTGTATCTTGGCCTGACTATCTCTAAGACTAGCTAGAAGTAGAAACATAACAAAGTTATGAACCGTCTTCGGGACCATAGCGTCTTAGCTAGTGCTAGAAAAACTGAGATGTGAATGTATACAAAATAGTTGTATTGTTTTGAATAATCTCTTGGAGTGGGCGACAAACCAGGCCGCGGTTCCAACTTTATAGTTCGACAGCAATTTCAAACATTTGGTACAGAACGATGGACCTGCTGTCTGCAAATCGATGTACAAATCTAAGGTGGTGTATTTCCCAATGAGCTTTATATAAAATCAAAAGTTGCATTTTAACCACTGCGGAGCAATTGAGCTATGTTATTCTGGTCTACAGGTGAACCTACTCTACAATTGTGTGTAGAACCATATTCAATTGCTCTACAGGGCATACAAAATTTACTACTGATATGCCAGGAACTCCCAAGTCGATTTTCTGAGTTATTTGCAGCTCACTTGATCCACTAGCTTAGCCTACTGTACTGCAATGAAATTCCATGAAGTCGTAATATGACATTTGGTATTGCAAAAAGTTGGATTCAGACATCTATTCGATCATCCGTCTTACACATGCTAGCAACGAGCTAGCTAGTCTACATCTGGTGCTGGAGAGGGACTGAGCAATATATTAATCATTTCCCCCACTCATCACGAAGAGAAAATTTGGTTTGTAGGTAGTGCCCGCGTTTGTTCCCACATATGAACGCATTAGTTTGTTGGAACTGGACCCCCAGCCCAATAACCTAGATCAGATATGAACAGCTCATTAAGCCGAAGACTTGCTGGCATGGGCCTGAAGAATGAATCTCATTCTTTCGGCCTCTCATTCATACCTATGATGATGAAAAAGTTCATCAGTGAAAAAGTGTACACACACCTTTGGTCGATCGATCGTGGCGAGAGATGAGCTCAACCTTCTCCAATTGAAGGTTCGGTAGGGGCCTGGGAATTCAAATGCCAATAGTGAGCGCATCGTAAAGAAGAAAAGTAAAGAATTCCATGCCCACAATACAATATGGAATAAAGCGAGGGAAAATAATAGACCGATTTTTTCTCGGTTCCATCAAATCAAACATGTATGTACATGACCACAAAGAACAATCCTTACGTCTTTCGCCTGCACTGCCTCGCTTTCTCCGGCTGGGCTGCTCGAGGCTCGAGGCTCGAGGCAATGGCCCCAGAGGTTCCATTCCACATCGCGCAATTTTTTTTTTCCTTTGATCTTTCCTTCCTCCTTTCCTCTGAGCGTTCCTTTGGGTGCTCGAGGCACACACAGGCTTGACAGATTCTAGATCTACCCAACAGTACTGCTCCTCTAGGTCCTGCTGCATATTAAACTCTTACTCTAAAGTTGTAATTTACTCCAGTAACACATACAGATCTAGAGCCATCTTCTTTCTAGTGGACATGCGCTGGTATCGGTGTCCACAACGACAAGTGAATCCTTCGAGGTTTTGCCCCGAGCTTACGTGGTTCTATCGACTTGAATATGTGAAAGCTTAAAGTTGCAATTCTCAATTGGCTAATAGTGCAGCCTACAGTACAAACTATTCTTGTTGGAGACCAAGGAGACATGTATTCCATCATGATCAAAAAAGCCTACAAAGCTCCCTTCGTATCAAACTTCGCAATGATCGTACCGTAATCGACTACAGTGGGCTCATTTGATAATGTCTCTCGCCTTGTATCCAGATTGGGTCTGGGAATTAGAAAAGGGCTTAGATACTGGAGACATGTACTGTTATTGTACATGACCCGAAAAAGCAATCACTGCTTACGTCGAGGGTCTTCATGATGGGTTAGTATCCAGATTCAGCTTTCTTTCTCCACACACCCAAACGTAGTCTAGAAGAATGTTTTGGTCAAGAGCGTTTTAATGCCATTTCCAAACTGCTATGGCATGGACATGAGCCCGCTGATTCAACATTACTACACGGTATGAGGGAGCCACTGATGAGTAGACACGACTGTCATGGAAAGATTATGAATTGCTCATACCAGAGATTTATCTCGTTGTTGGCCACCGATCACTAAAAAGCGAACTGTGAGTCGACATAATCACAAGAGTTAAAAAAACACGAGAGCTCATTCTTTATCACGTACAAAATCGATGCCCACTTTAAGAGGAAATATAATTTTTTTATCCTGTCATGAAGTTTGACTGGTCACCGACCCGACTGGCTTCAATATTCTTTTCCTTCCTTTCTTCCTAGTGTTTGGATTGAGGGGACACGGTCCACCTGCCCTTTGACACATAAAATACTCAACTCTTAATCTCGGACCAATATTGACGTGAAATTGCAGGACGTTCCAGATGAGTTTTGGTCCACGGATGGCGCTATCCAAAACGTTGATCTCAGCTTACATCTGTTGACTCCACGAAGAAAACAGACGGGGAACCTTCCCATTTGAGATGTCACATATGTGTTGCTTGTAAAATATCTGGCTCTACAATATACATTCATGCTTCTATCAGTAAAATACACCTCTCCGAGAGCTACTGGTTCCGCCATTGATTATTCTGTCCGGAGCCCATGTGTACTAACATGATCACAACCCACATACTAAGAGGACTTGTTCATGAACAATAAGTGCTCGCTAATCCATCCAGCTCCGCGCGATTCTCATTATACTCCCAATATACTCCCGTTGAGCTTGGACCGAGAACGATACGGAGATGTAAGGGCTGCAGATAGTGGACAGAGGCCGTGGTTTAATTGGACACAAAACCAGAAAAGCACACAGCTTACATGAACAGTCGGGTAATCAGTGTGTGAGCAGAATATTTCGTCCATGTGAGGTCGAGGAGTGCGTAGAATGTTTAATTTGAGGGTATGGCGAACAGACTAAAAGTGTCGGGTGGAGAATGGAGTAAGGAGTAAGGAGAGGAGAGAAGGCATGTATGTTAAAACGAACAACCCGGGCAAGAGGAACAAAGCCCACGTCCATTCAATCCATGAAGGGCAGCCGCTTTGCTGGACTCATAATTTTGTTCCCCTTGAACTGGCCATAGCTTCTTAAGTTTGGAAGGGGCTTAGAAAAAGGAAATGCTTAGTCAAAGAGTACACGACCAGTAACAGACGAATGAAGCTTACGTCCACGGCCATGAGCTTCAGAAAAAGGCAGTGAAATTTAGGACCATTAATATGTCGATACTTATATAAAGGATTCTGCTGACTACGAAAGACACTGTCTCGGGTCTGGACAAAGTTGCAATGTATGTGTACACGACCACAACAGACGGACGAAGCTTACGTGGTTCTGATGCCATGCTCGAACGAAGAGCATCCACTCGTGCACTTTCTTTTCTGACGGGGAGGGACTATTGGCCCGAGAGCGAGCGAGCTCAGACTTCCACGAAGTTGCATCTCGGTCTTCATCATTGCATAGGCAACACCTGCGCCAGCTGCGCACGGTCATCTAAGTCTGTCTGGCTCCCTGTCTGTCTGGCAGGCAAGCCAGACCTTGCTTTTGCACCTCTGTCTGAACAAGGGCAAGTAGATAACCCTGTCTTAGTCTCTCAGTGACACTGACTACCGAGTGGGTGACGGGGTGAAAACGTTACCACGAAGCTTCATGTTGATGGTTGATTAGAGGCATTTGCACGAACGGCTTTGTCACCTTCACACCCCTCCGCCATGCTTGCCTGCAGATACTGTATAGAAAAGCAAATATCATACCCACATTTATACTAGGCTGTTTTCAAGTCAGCAGTCCACTCCTGCGTCGCCAAATGGAACACGCTCGCCTGTCCATGACATTCAGACTGACGTGAACTCGTCTGCGTCTCAAATCCAATCGCACCTGGATTGTCTCTGCGGTGTTTCTTTGCATTGCTCAGCTCACCTTTTCCTTTTCCTGTGCACTTTCAACTCGCATCTGATTCGTGACGGCTCGATTTTCGTGTTCGGTGTTTTCCCGGGGCAATTGAGCTCTTTTTAAGACCCACGTCGACAGGCCCCGACATCATCCGCCATTCGAGTGTGCTCCGAGATCATTTGCCATCGTAGGCACGAGTTTATGGTAATGACGCTGCAAGCGGGTGGCATTCCCGCGGAATTTGCTATCTCGCAGGTCTTTTGCCGACGAACGCATGTTTGAACCGGTCCAGTTGCATGTCTTTTGCTCGAGAGTTGACGTAAAGGCATGGACCCCCACATCAGGTTTGGTGCTGCATAGATCTAAAGCAGGCGAGTGAATCCTTTTCATTTTTCTCAGTAGGTTGTCGGAAGGGAACCAATCAATCTTTCATATTGGCCGAAGTTGGAGTTGTCGAGATGCGGTTCACCGAAGACGACCGACAGACATTGCATTGAAAAGAGTCGAGCTGAACAAGCGACCGAACACGAGAAGATAAGGCCTTAAAAGTTGGGAGACTGCATTCCACGAGTCTCGGTTATTTAATAGTATACACAAATGAGTACCATGGGGAATTCGGATAGAAAAGCTCAGGGATGGAATGAGGGTCCATTACACTGACTGATCGGGCAACAAGAAATAATCATCGAAGGGCCTGTTCCTTCCTCGCGTTCAATTCGAATGACCGTGGGGCAGGCTGTCAGACTAACACTGAGTAAGCGATCTGATCTAGCTCCCGAGATTAGAAATTTAGGTAGACATTGCCCGGTCACAGATCTGGCTAGCTGGCTGGCCGGGTGGATTGCTCAGCTACGACCTCTTCTTCCACTCACCCCGGACTAAAATCAATAGAGTACAGAAAAACTCCATTCTATTTACACTAGTCCCAGTATCCAAGGATTATGCGTTCTCTTTTTCGGCCTCATCTTCGGATCACTGAAGGGCACTGACGTTAGCCCCTGCCACATGGAGCAGCACCGATCGTACTTCCTCCGAGCCGATTTCATTGTCTTGCAATTGCTGCCAACAAACAAACCCATGCACTGTAAGCTCCCCGGGCCGACTCGATATATAACCACGACATATCAACGAACAAAATGGGTCAGACTCTACACTACTAATTGCAACACTCTCACTGATCGGCAGCAGTTCAGTATCAGAACATATCTTTTCAAATGCCGGACTGAATGCTCAAAGCTGTTCTCGTTGCCCACGAAGTATTGTGCTACCCTACACAGCATGAGGTCTAAGACCTGAAAACTGTATTACCTCAGCACGGAACACATCGAGAGCAAAGCCGTTGAAGCATGAAACGACAGCCTGCTGCACTTCCAGCCCCAGCCCGTCCAGAGCACGCATGGTGGACAGCAAGAGCCCCGGTCTTCTCGAACAGAACATGTGAATGTTGAGGCCTCTCCTCTCGCCCATGTTCACGTCCACCTGCAAAAGGAAGGACACTTTTGCCATTCAGTATGCCTCCATATTTTCTGGATAGAATGCTGCGCTTTTTGGTCTGCTTGATCTTATAATTCAGCGTTCACGACGAGATGCGGTCCAACTATTTAAATGAAACCGCGCGCTGTGGCCCTACACTGCGACTGAAGGGGACTCACCCTTAGCGTTTGCGGTTGCTGCTGCGAATCAGGACTCGGAATTGACGATGGCAGCTCCTCTTTCACTCGGCATGTTGTCAACGTAGACGAGCTCGGTTGCGGCATGGCGGCTTGCAGGGCAGCGCTGTTAACGACGTTGTTGTTGTTGTTGCTGCTGTTGTTATTGTTGTGGTTATTTTGCTGCTGCTGCTGGATAGGTGGTCGGTCCAGGGGAGTGGTCGAGCCTAGCTCATTGTGCAGATCATTGATGCGGTCTAGAAGCTCCTTCAAGTACTCGATCGCATCTCCGAGTATTGAAGCTCTGTCCATCTGCACAGGTTCCAACAAAAGCCTCTAGTCAGTCGTAGGCCTTGAGCAGCCGCTGACGCAGCCTGCAATCTAGTGGCAGATTGCGGCTCGACGATCGATCTAGCTACATGTACATGTAGCGAGCTCGGGAACGTAGCTCGCTCTTCAGAAAAAGTACACGAATGAATGAATGACTGACTGACTCACTACACAACTGAACTCCTCGCGCACCGCCATGCCATGTCCGTTCCACCCCATTGACCCAATCCAATCCAATCCGGCCCGGACATGGCATGCGCGCTGGGCTGCGTTGCGGTGTGGGTGCGGATTGACGTCCGTGCTCGCACCTTGGTGATCTTCGGTACCACGGAGCGCAGCATGTAGAGACGATCGTTGAGTTTCTTGCGACGCCTGCGCTCGGCCATGAGATTTTTAGCTGGCAGGCCCTTTTTGCCCTTGCCCTTCTCCCCATGCAAGCTCAGAGCCGTGCCTGGGCCTTGACCGTCCATGCCATTCATGTCGTCGGCCTCGTATAGCCCCGAGCCATCGCCGCTTTCCTCTATATCGTCATCATCCTTCGCCTCGTCTTGATCCAATCGAGGCTCCGTATCCGCCATATCGGTGTCGCCTGCGGTCGCCCCTCCGTCATCCGAGCCGAGCTTGGCCTTGCCATCGTCCTTGGCGCCTGCCGACGACGGGGCTGGGGCTGGGGCCGGGGCCGGGCCGCACATGTTGACCACCATAGCCTTGTCCGGCTTGCCCCCCGCGTTCGAGCGATCGTCGCCGGGCATGTTGACGGACGAGTCATTGGAGGCCGAGGTGATCACTCGCAGCGACGCCTTGTCGACGGGGGCGGGCGAAATTGGGCCCCCGGACACCGCGTGCCGCAATGTTCCTCCCCTCTTGTGCTGCTGCGAGCTGGTGCTGGTGGTGCTGCAAGGAGCGACTTTCTGCGCGCTGGAGCTCGAGCAAAGCAGGTGCTTGGACAGGTACGGAGGGCGCTCGACGTTCAGCATCTGCAAGGAATGATTGTCCTTGGCCATGAGATTTCTGCTCAAAGAGTTGTTATAGGTGTCGCCGAATCCACCGCTGCCCATGCCGGCGGCGCCAAGTCCATGATGGGCGCTGTGATGCGCATGAGCATGATGATTGTTGAACCCTCCCACGGCGTTCGTGAAACTGCAGGTGCTGAGCAATTTATTCAAGTTTGCGCCTTGGTGCCCGAACGCAGCACCACCGCCGCCGCCGCCCTCCACCTGCAGCCCACCTCGCGGACTCAAATTGCTCAGCAGCGCACCGCGCACATTCCCGCTGTGCACATTCGGCCCCAGACTCGGCATCGCAATGCCCCCCGAGCTGCTGCTGCCGCCGACGGCGCTTTGACCATCGGCCTGGGGTTGATGTTGATGCTGCAGGAAATTCCCACCCATTCCCGCTGCTCCTGCTGGTCCTCCTCCTCCCTGGCAGTGGATGCTGCTCATCCCTCCATCGTATTGCATCCCGGTGTCCAGGAACGACGATAATCCGCCGAAAGATCTGTTGACATTGCTGCGGTTGAAGAGGCCGTGCAAATGCGGCGCGTCCAAGGTGTTGAAATGCGCCGACGACATATTATCCTGCTGCTGATGCTGGTGCTGGTGATGGTGTTGGTGTTGATGTTGATGCTGCTGCTGCTGCTGCTGCTGTTGAGAGCCGACGAGCTCCTTCATCTCATCCAAGAGCGTGCTCTCGGGCCCCATGTACCACGATTCATCGTCCAGCATTCCCTTGGCCGAAAAGCCCGAGCTTGAAGGAAGATCGTCCTGCAACGCAACCCAGAAGCCGCCATGTGAGACAAAATGCAAATCTTCCGACACGGGCTGGAATCTTTTTGGACCTATCCGCATTCGGACGAGGTGAGAAAGTCCGTACCTTCATGGCGGTCGGATCGTTCGAGCTCGGGCTCTGGCAGTTTGTGGGCCTCCATCTCAGATCGTTCTCGATGCCCGGAATACAGGATGCGAGTCTGCGGGCCGGAATCATGATCAGGACAGCAAGAAGACGAGTTCAAGTTGAGAGAGGGCTGTTATTTTTGGACACTTTTGGACGCTGCAGGAGTCCAGCTGTAGATCCAGAAAAGTTCATCAATCAGAATCTTGGAGGGGTGTCACACTTTTGACTAGGTTTTATGGCCCTCGCCCTCTCGGACGGATGGAACGACGAGCTTTCCATCATTGGCAAGGGGAGGGGAGGCGAGGGGAGGCGAGGGTCGGGGCCGTTCTTTTTCAACATGAGCGGGTCATCATCACACGGAACCAAATGGAGGCGCACAGGAATTAGAATCTATCTGCAGACGAACCTCAAATCAGGAGAGTTGCCAGCCATCCACACTCCGCCAGGAGCCGGTCTGGTTGTAGAAGTCATCATTGTGGTCGACTCGGGGACAGAATCAGGAATGGTCCAGGAAGAAGAAGAAGATGTCGAAGAAGATGCTGCCGCTGCCGCTGCTGCTCTTGCTGCTGTTGTACGCCGACATGGTTGCTAGATCCACATGCTTCCACCTCGCAGCGAAAGCTGGAACGAAGTGTTGGACGATTGCTGCTTGGGTTTCCACATGTTGACTTGCTCCTGAAAGCTGGAAAATCCCAGGTTCGTCATGGTGCTGTCTCCTCCTCCGCGTCCCGGATCAATCTCCAATCCGATCACCGAAACCAACCCACGCCGTCAGACGAGGAGCAGACGACAGTCTGGGCATCGAGAGTCCGTCCCGCTTCTTCCTTCCTTTCTAACTTCCTCCCTCTCTTCCCGTCCTTCCTTGTGACCTGTTCCCTTTCCAGATGTATTCCGAGCATCCACCCTTTGCACACTCATGAATCGGCCAAATTGGAGAGTCGCTCCAAAACCCCTCCAGCGAAATGTCGGAGTCGATGCCGAGAGATGGATGGTTGATGACGAGGAGAAGGTGTAGGAAAGGGATAGGGAGGGAGTCCCAGGAAGAGCAAAGGGATGGGACGCTCGCTTGCTGCCTGCCTGCCTTGTGCTGCTGCTGCTGCTGCTTCTACTACTACTACTACTATTGCCGCTGCGGGTGATGCTTCTGTTGGGCTGGGGGGATATCGGTGCCAAGAGGGAGATCGTATCACAAGTCGGATGAAGTCAAGACCGGGGTGTTGTTGGTGGAGGAGGAAAAGCGCATCATCGTATCAGGCCAGATGCTACAATTCGGGGTATCTAGCTGGCCTCGGAGCTGATTCCCAACCCGGTCACTGCTGCTTTTTCTTTGCTCTGGTCATCTTCTCGCCTGGGTTGAACTTTAATAGAGGAGCAGAGCAGAGGGCTGCTATGATCGCGCACTTTAGCGCTTTTGCGGTGATGTATGGGAACGGGCAGCATGGAAGGGGGCGAGGGGGAGGTAGGGAGGGAGGGAGGAAGCTCTTGCTCCCTTCCTCAGGTGGCGACACAAGAGCACAGGCACCTCACCTCATCGGGGGCTGATGAGAGCGACCTGAGAGGACGAAACCTCCATGTATGTTTCGGTAGTGAGGCCAACAGTGTGTACTACTGTTAGTGTTACGAGTAAGTATGGCGAAGGCAGAGTGAGTGAGAGAGAAAGCGAGCGAGAGTGCGCGAGAGGCTCGCGCTGTCCTCGACCAGCTGCCGCTGGCGCCTGCCTGTTTGTATTCATTCTCTTAGGTGTACATGTATTCTATTCTATTCTGTACCCTCTCTCCTGGTTGTTACGATTCCCCCCATCTCTGCAGGCCTCGCTGTCCTTTGCACTCACTCCCCCTCCCTCAAAAGGAAGGAACGACTCATAACGGACCTAGATGTGTCTGCTCGCCAACCCCCTCCCTCTCCGTCACCCCCTCCCTCCAGCACCTCAGCACACCAACCCTTTTCGTTTCTTCTCCATCATTCCCTTCCTCGCTTCCGTCCATAATCTTCTCTTCTCTTCTCTTCCCTTCCCTTCCCTTCCCTTCCCTTCTCGCGAAATCTCATCCCATCTCATCTCATCGCACACTCCCGTCCCCTCACCTCACCTCACCTTCTTGGAGAGTTTTGAGTCGTCCCCTCCTTGTCTATCCTCATTTGGAATTGCCGGCTCCCGTCCTCGACCGGTTGGTTGTTCAGTTGAATCCATTTCTCCGAAACTTCGCCTCATTCTTCTTTCCTCTTAATAGTGAGGGACTATACTATGCATCCGGAAGTATTCAAGCGCTTATCGACCCACCAACCGGTTGTTTATTACATTCCGCTTGATTTCCTGCGCCTTCACTGCGAAGGGGACCATCCTTCTGTACCTCAGTCAATTGATATTCTTTTCCAACTGGGTCGTCGGATGCATAAACATTAGCCAATTCTCACTTTTAAGTCTCGAACGGACTCTTTACATTTTGTCTTAATGGTCGAGATCTTCGACAAAGCCTTCTTTATCAGCTCTCTACTATACTCTACCGGCAACCCGATACCGTACTCGTTATAACTAATACTCTTGCAGGCCAACGGCGACATTACAAAATTTGCTCGAGCGGGCTCAGCAAAGATTCACCTTCCGTATCAGAAGCATATTTGACCAGTTCAGTTATATTCACTCTTAAATTGTTGGATTACCGCCTCCCGGAAAAAGGTGACCGAAACACACTTCTACGTAAGTGACAAATAATTGTATGGGGAACAAAGTCCTAGCGCTATACCTACTCGTCGTCAGATCAACTTACATCAGCATAGACCTGTAGGATATAAGCACCTTCCAATTTAATGACGGCAAATTGGAATGCTACGGCGATGGAATTGTTGCTTCAATGCTGCTGATTCACTCAAATCCCCAACAAGATTCACATTTAAAACTGGAAGTGGACCCCGAAACTTAGACAACAGTTGCCACAACTGTGTTGCTGAAAACTTTTGCAACCCAAATGACTAATCTTTACAGCCCAAGTATATAGTTTCTCTAGTGCTGACTTTCATCATGATCCTCGGGTTTCATGGTCGATATAAAGCTTACTAGGTCAAATTGTTGAGTCTGATATACGTCGATGATGTTCTAGGTTCCACATGCAGACCCCAATTTATGATGTTGTCCAGTCAATGTCGTGGCAACGAAAGTCAGTTGCCATCCACTCATATTTCGCCTTTCGCGCGAAGGCAGGGAAAAAGTTTTCCGTTCTCGAAAACCCCATTTTAAAACTCATTGGGCTGCGAAATTTATGGTCGGTACGTTAAGCTTACCCGAGTCTGTCGTTAGATTCTGTTCACCTCACTCTGGATCTACCGGCCCCTTACGTCTCCTCCTCCATCTCTACAATGTCTCAAAACCAAACACCAATGGCAAGCAGTGATCACAGGGAGCCGAATCGCGAAATCCACCAATTGGAGCCGAGGGAAATACAGTGATATGCGAGCATCGCCAATTTCATTCTTCTGTTCGTCATGTCGCCTCCGAAGGGGAAGACTCATGAGCTTCCCCTCCCGACTCGGCTCACAAGCGGCCGATGGACCGAACGAAACATGTACAGCTGAATGAATTTATGATTTATGCGACAACAGTGGAAAGCGTTTTCCAGCTGCTCTGTTACTAGTTCACCGTGTGCATCCGGCTAAATTTAACCTCGCTCCATCCACACAGGAACCAACCACAGTCGACGGGCGCTCGTTGTAAACATGCTTCGCCTCCTGCAGTACAGTGTCCACCATGTGCTGAAATTCGAGCTCCAATCCCCAGAGCCAGTGTGTCATTTGCTCTCCCACTCCGGCGCCTTCACCTCACAATTGATTGATACAGTCGCTGGTTCTGTCTCTCTCTACGACCCCGAACGACAAACACCCCAGCCCGAGTGTCGAACATCATCATCATCTCCGGACTCCATCATCTGCTGTGCTGCTTTTTCTGTGTGCCCCCCCTAGCAATCCATCCATCTTCCATCCATCGACCACGACCCCGTTTCGGCGCAAGGATTGTATGGAGGGCCAGGCCTTTGGTCTTCGTCCTCGACCTCGTCCTCGTGGGGCCCCAGGCCCGAGCCAGCGAGTTTTCTCTCTACGCTGACGAGAATCCATGTCTGGCCTGGCCCCCTGCCGATCTGGATATGTTCGGTAGTCGTCTTGACATTGCGGTCGCGACGGTCGGGCTGCGGGAGTTGCGACTCGGTGTAGTGATTGATGGATGCCATCGGATCCAGCAGGAGGCGCGGGGCCCGCCGGGCTGGGCATTTCTGGTTGTTGCGACGTCGCTGCGACCGACGTCGTGAGGGCGGGAGGGAGCGGGAGGGAGCGGGAGGGCGGGAGAGCCAGCGAGCGGGCTTTGTGGATTCTCTTCAGGTCGTTGTTTGTGCATCAGCCGTTTGTACGTAGCCATCGCTCACTCCTTTTACAATAGCCCTCCGCCGCCCTCTCTTACAGGTTGCCGCATCCCTTGCACCCGCCACCGGCTTCGCCGGTTGGTTGCATTGGTTTGTCTCTTCTGTCCGGCTCCTACTCCTCCTCTCCCTCTTCCCATTTTCGCATACAAGAACATCTACCTGCTTGCTTGGATGATCATTCTAACGGTGTGCAATGAATCCAACACTGTCGTACATTGCCAGCATTTGTTTAGGTTTTGAAGATGGATAATTTTCACACTACATTAATTTTTCTCGTGTACTTCGGAGCATCACCTCGGCTTTTTGTAGATTAAGATATGCAGGAAAAAATGTTCAAAAAACTTTAAATGTATTGATATATTCATCATCAAATTGAACATTCATGGAAACTGTGGACATAAATTTAGTTTCAAGATTTAGTCAATATTGCAAAACTTTACCATCTATGAATTCTAGAAATTTAATTACTTATTTTGTGATGGTAATACATCAATCTCTTAATCTAGAAAACTTGTACACTTTAGATATATGTAGGCTACAAAATTGTATTTAAAATTTATTTTTAAAAGTACTTTCATTCAAGAAGATGAAGAATGAAGTAAGAATGAAAAAAAAATTATTTGATTTCAATTTAAGTGATGAAAATTTTTTAATTTCAGAATTTTTTAAACCATTTTAAAAATTTCAAATATGCATTTTTTTATGCATATTTGAAATTTATTTTGATGTCTATAATATGCATTTTTACGTAAAATGTAACATTTTAAAATATTTATAATGAAATGATATATTCAAATACGTATTTCTTTGTCTACAAACAAATATCAAAGATGATTTTGATGTTCTCAAAGGTTCACAAAAATTTTATTATAAAATTATATCATTCAAATGTTCAAACTAAATGAAATTTTTTGACATACTAATGGATTTTCAAATCGAAACTAATTTGATTTTTTTGAACATCAGTTTAGTAATTTTTAAGATGAAATCACATGTTATTGATATATTTTTTTAAAATATATCAATAACATTTTTGGACAGTTAATAATTTTAAAAACCCATATAATATAATATAATATATATAATATTTAATTATTATGATCTAAATTAAATTAAATTTTGATTAAATGTTGATAATTTTGATAAAAATTTATGTCGAGAAATTGAAAGTTTAATATAATGTCAATTAGATAACCAATAAATTTTGCAATGTGGTTTGAGTGATAGATTTATTGAGATAATATGATATTTAAATTAAAATATTCTATATTTCAATTAATTTAAGTGTTGATTAAATTTAGATGATTTAGATAAAATTCATGTCTATAAATTGAAAGTTCAAAATAATGGCAATTAGATTATCAATAAGTTTTGAGATGTTTTCAAAAAAAAATATTATTTAATTATTATGATCAAAATTAAATTAAATGATGAATAAATTTTGATAATTCTGATAAATTCATGTCTATAAGTTGAAAGTTCAAAATAATGTCAATTATATTACCAATAAATTTTGCGATGTTGTTTGAAATTTTTTATGAATGATAGATTTATTGCGATATTATGATATTTGAAATAAAATATTCTATATTTCAATCCAAAATTATAGAAAGCTGATTTTATCATTTAATATGAAGCTAATTTAATCTAATTTGTTCATTTTTTACCAATAAAAATTAATACAAAAGAACAAAAAAATAATTACAAATGCATATATTTGACATAAAATTTCAAAGTTGATACACACCAAAAGTGTGAACAAAAAAAAATAGTGGTTCAACATTATGATATTCATGATGTATGAATGCTTTATTTGAACATTTTCTATTTTTGTAATTGAAAATTACAATAAGCTTTAATAAACAATAACATATTACGATAGATTTATTGCGATATTATGATATTTGAAATAAAATATTCTATATTTCAATCCAAAATTATAGAAAGCTGATTTTATCATTTAATATGAAGCTAATTTAATCTAATTTGTTCATTTTTTACCAATAAAAATTAATACAAAAGAACAAAAAAATAATTACAAATGCATATATTTGACATAAAATTTCAAAGTTGATACACACCAAAAGTGTGAACAAAAAAAAATAGTGGTTCAACATTATGATATTCATGATGTATGAATGCTTTATTTGAACATTTTCTATTTTTGTAATTGAAAATTACAATAA